AGCCATGAGATTCCTCTGGAATAGCCTGGTCTCGGCTAGAAGACCCAGCATTGTCAGATAAAGACGTGGCTCCCACTGGCTGCTCTTGAACTACAGAACCACAAGATGCTGAACTCTGTTCCTTCATTTTCCTTACTCAAGAGTGATTTTTTGTTTATGTTGTCATGAAACCAAATTTTAATATTTATTTTGTGCACTGACATCACTTAAGTGTGATTTCCTCTGTTTCACATTGCATTACACTTTCTTTTTCGATTTTATTTAAAACTTTCTTAACGTTCGAATTCTTTAATAATTAAAAGTTGGGAAATCTGTTTCTTATTGGGGCAGAATTAAGTGGGTAATTCAATATCATTATTTTTTTCACCTTTAACACGGATTATTCAAGCATCAAAAACCCACATGATTAATAAACTTTTTTTGCTGTGACATTTTTTTTTAAACAATTGAAAAAATAAAACATTTATTTACACAAAATATAGCACAAGGCAAACATACACACACATACACAATAAATTTACCATGTGAATTATCCTAATAACCGTGGGAAAATTATTTTTCTATTTTCTTGCTGCCATCTCCAGCCGAATGTAAGTATTGTAATTACCAGAAAAGATCATTTTAATTTTTTTAAATGGCAGTACTCAATTTTGGCCACCAGACGGCAGCATAAAACGTGGAAAAAATATTTCCCCACGGTCAAATCAAGTAATTTTTAAACAGACATATTTTCACGATGTACTATGAGCTAATAAAACAAATATTTAATTATTATAATATATTTGTTTTACATGGTACAAGTCTTTTTTTAATTACCATGTAAAACCATTATACTGTGAGAAAATATGTTTCTATTTTCTTGCTGTCATCTCGTGGTCAAGCTAAAGTTTTGCAATGAGGGAAAAAATTATTAAAATGTTTTTAAATGAAAAATTCATGCAAATTCATAAGATGACAGGCAGACTACAGTCACTCAGTGTCTCCACCCTCCGTTACTGCTTTTCCGCTACAGGATGTTGGGGAGCCTGTAACTGGGAACTGTGTATGTTTGCGCTGAAACTGGGCACTGTGTGTGTCTATGTGTGTGCGCTGAAACTGGGCACTGTAACAAACACTGGTTTGTTACCAGATGTCTGCAATTATACTCCTGTCCTCTAAGGGTCAGTATAATTTAATAGAGGACTATAAGGACCAAGAGCCTATAT